GTCCATAGACGCCTTGCTTGACTTACTCACGTCCGGCCGCGACCTCTTTAATTGGCCGCCCTCAGATTCGGTCTCTGATTCTTCGACTTGAATCTGTCTCCTCTTCTTTCGCTGGGCCGTTGTCTTCAACCTCGGTCGAGCAGGAGATTGCTCGGAAGCCTTCGTTTTTTGTGTTGGTACGTCCTCTGACGGCTGCCCCTAAGGAGCCTTGGAAGGTCGCGCCGATGGGCCCGATGTCGCACCTTCAACCGGTTGAACTGTCAAAGCAGCTTCGGCTGCTTTGGCTTTCTTTGTCTGAGGGAAAGTGACCTGCCTTCGTCGCGGCTGCTCTGACTCCTTCGGAGGCATGGTCGCTGCATGCAAAACATCGTTAGCAAAGTATCTCAGTTCACGACCGGAAAGGGGTCAGTTAGCAAGACTTACTCAATGGGGCCTCTAGTGACGTGTTTGCATTGAAGAAATCGTATTTCCGCAAGCTCGCGGTCGTCACGAGTTTCTTCACGTCGCACTGATCCTCTGGTAGGGAGCCAAAATGCACGATCCTACGTCTATCAAAGAGCAGCCCTAGGTTGGTCGTCTTGTTAACTGTCAGAAAGAAATCAGGTCGTTAGAAAAGCACATTTCAAAAAAAAAAAAAAAAAAAAAAGAGAAGAGAAAATGGGCCTACTCGGATCCTGGAAGCGGCAATGGCCATCATAACGAAAGAAGAAAAACTTCGTTTCGTAGGCACCCGCGTTACTCGGATAGCTGTGTATCCCATCGGCGATAGTAGGTCGCCTGGACAAGTAGTAAGAATCCTTGTCCTTACTCTTCTTCAAATAATAAGAGCAGCAGACCTCCATAGCGGTCAGCTCGCCCAGTCCGTTCTCTTGGCACACGATATACATTGCAACAGCAATGATGTACGCATTCGGGGTCAACTGCATCGACGCAACCCCAAAGTGGTCCAAAAGCGACCTGATAAAAGGGTGGAAGGGGATAAGTCCCCCACCCTTGATGATCTCCTCGGAGACCGCGGCCAGACCGCTTAGCAGGTACAGCGATGAGTGCGCCACATCAAGGAAAGCGTCCACCTCGATAGCGTATTGCTTTATTACCCTCTCGAGCTCCTCCCCGGTGAGCACCGAGAAGACCTCAATAGGGATGTTTGGAGCACCCTGTGGGGGCGAACTGATTCCCTGTTTGGATCTAGTTGTTGAGGGGTCTATTTTGCCGGTCTACAAAAGCGACAAGCAGAAGAGTCATTTAGCCCTCGTACGTTGTTTCATATGATGATGTGGGAGGAAACAAACTCTCAAAATCCCAAAGGAAACCCTAACGGCGTGATTCAAGCCACCATTAAGGGCTCGAACTAGACCTAAGCATCTCGTCTCCGATAGGCTACCGGAAGACAGACGCCACTCAACCATGGAAAATAACAAAACAGAAACAGGGAGAAGCTCTTACCGTACGGAGTGTGAGAATGACTTCCGCTTCGAATGCTTGAAAACGCTGGTTTGAAAGGTAGAAATTCCAAGTTTGCGCAAATCTTTTACTCTTTAAGAAAAAAGGCTCTGGTAACATTGCCTGAGAAAGACTCGAGGTTTTTATAGCGTATGAATCGGCGCTTGGGTTTCTCAAAATCGAAACGACGTTTGGGTGGCAAAGGTTTCTCACCATTGATCACAGCCATGTGTCATGCATCAGCGGGGAAGAGTGAGCGTCACGAATGGATAAAGTTAGACCTTCATCTCTTCCGTTGAAAAGCCCAAACGACGGCCATTCTCTCTTTCTCAGAGCATTAATTGCGTTTCAAATCCACATTTAATGCTCTGGTAAAGGGCATCATTCCAACGTACTACGCATTCAATGTCCTGATAAGGCATACCGTGTCAGCGTACAACACATTTAATGCATCTGCCTGGCACTTATCACGCACAGGGCACGTCTGTCAGCACAGGGATTGCTTCATTAAATGTACCCATGGCAAAAGGACAATAAGTGACGTCTGACGAAACCAGGTCGTTCGTCCCCTGCAAACAATGAACATGCGAGGTCGTTCTCAAAAAAGTTCCATCCCGACCTACTTTCAGGCAGGTCGGGATTTCCAGAATTTTCAGAATTTTCAGAATTTTCAGAATCTCCGGGAATCATCCAATTGCGGCATGACTTATAGTTTCCAAGGTTCGGTTCTCAAACCTTAAAAATAAGGGGACTTCTATTATGCCTGGGAACTTAGGGCTGACGTGGCGCCTAGTTAAGTGCGCAAGGTCAGACCTCGGGAAGAGCCTACTGCCATTCTGACGCAGCTGCTTCGTGCGATCATGGTGGCACCCACAACTTGCTTCCGTCAAAGTAATGGGTGCACGTTAGGCCAGCAAGGAGTTGTGATGACCCCGCGTGTCCAACCCCTGCAGCAAATCACGTGAATTACTCTAAACGAAGGATTTGCACGGATCATCCCACCAACTTGAAGATTCAATGATGATTACCTCAAGGCATCCCACTATAAAATGGGAGCTCCTCTCTCATTAAAGGGATTCGCGCATTTTAATCTTGCAAAAAAGAAAGAACTCTTTCTGTCTCTCTAGAGAAGACAGTCTTCAATATCTTGTATCATCAGTGTAAAGTCAGTCATCTAAAGCGACCTGACCCTTATCATTAATAAAAACATCAGTGAACGTAGGATTTGCTTCCTTAGCATCCGAACCACTTTAAAACTCATTTCTCACTGCATTTACTTTCATCTCTCCAAACCATTCACGTGTGTCTTTTGGGGGCTAGCTCGACATTTCACACGTGCGTTTCGTTGGTGTCAAAATCACGCATCAACACATCTCTTGATCAAGCTATCATGGATATGCATAATTTTTCCCATTTGATTTCAAAAAATCTGCCGATACAATTACACAAACTCTGTTTTTAGTTCTGCAGAACCAATTTATTTAATTTCTTCAGCAATTACAAATATTTTTTCTGCATAATATTTTCATCTATCTGCAATAGTATCTCCTCTTATTTTTGACATCTAATTTATAGGACCATTGAATAAAAATAATAAAAAATATGCTATTTATACTGTAACTCTCCAGCCCCTTTTGGAATTGTGGGGAACATGACAAGAAGATACAACTTTCATTTGGTTGAGCACAGTAACAATTTGTGTAGCTTTGAAAGAATTTTTACTCCTCACTTGGTTGAAGAGTACTGGATCTATAAGTGGATAAATATATTTCAAGCAATAGAGGAAACTGCAGCAAGCCAAACAGGGTCACTGGAACACATCCAAGCAGGGAAATCGGAAATATAACCCATTTCCATGGACGAGAAAGAAATAGGTAAACAGTTGCACCCATCAGATGAAATATAAAGAAATGTTGTTAAGGGATGTTATATAACTCACTCAGTCAAACTATGCCGTTATATAGTCCGCCAACTCTGCCGTTATATAACATCCCTTAACTCTGCAATTACATAACACCGTTAACTAAGCCGTTAAGTTAAATCGTTAACTGTGTCATTACATAACAGTGTTGATTCTGTCGTTACGTAACGTTTGTTAATATACCATTATATAACGACAGTTAACTCTGCAGTATAAATAGCATAATTACGATTGTTAACTACGCTGTTATTGTTGCCGTTAAGATACGTCCGTTTCCTATGCCGTTACGTAACGTCTTTAAACGTTACCTTGTCGTATTTCACTGTACTGAAGTCGCTTCGCTGCCCAACTTCATTTTCCACAATTTTGACTGAAGCTAATTGCTGTAACAACAATGCAAAAGCGATAAAGTACAAGATTGGTCAACATTCCTAATTCTTCGTCATTTGGCAGAGCTTGAGAGGGCTGTGAATTTGACTTGTTTTGCATCAAGTGAGGTAAAGTTTTGTTTGTTTGTATGAGAAAGTTAGGCCTTTGCTGCTGTACATTTGTTTCTGCAAGCTCTCGCTCCTCAAAGCTTCTGCAGCTTCTCTTACCTCCTTTTTCCTCACTTCCGCATAAAGTTTAAGCCAATTCCATAGACTCTTGGTTTCGCTCTCAGTTCTCATCTGATAAACAACGCTTCTATGGGATCTTAAGCTTCACCTCTGCTTTCTGTTTCGTAGACTAAAATCATTTTCTTCTAATATACAGAGTTTTATTTGCTTGGTTAATTTTTATCTCGGTCATAAATTCAGATTGTTTAGTGTTCTTTTATATCTTAAACCTGTGAATCTATCAGACACACAACAACCAGAAACTGCTTTAAATTTAGTGAAATTGCTAACAGAACTTTGTACATATGATAATTCGTCGCTTCTATTGAGAAGCGGTTTCATTGGATTGTTTGAATCAGTGATTGATGTCCATGTTTCCAGTTCAAAAGGGAAAAAGGCAGCTGAACCTCTTAATTAATGTGAATATATTTCAAGAATTAGCAGGCTAACCCTTCCAAAGATGTTTTTATGATTTCTACCCTGGGGAAGCTTTTCATAGGATTAAGAAATGAGTAAGTTAAGAAACCAACCCATGATTTCACCAATCAATATTTTTTATTTCTCAGGTTTTGGCCTAGAGTTCTTGTTGATGTGAGCAGAATAGATTCTTCAACTTCGGTACATGTTACAATATTTCAGTTCCCATTATCATTGCTCCAACCGCTTGGCATCAAACGGCATACCCTGAAGGTCTGACTCGTAAAAGCTATTGGTTATGGTCTAAATTCTAACATGACTCAGCTGTTTGAATGTGTCCCAGGAGAGGTTGCCACAGCCAGAGCAGCAGCAGCCCATTATGGTATTTAGTTAATGCATGTTGAACTGATATGCTTACTTTAGGCCCATACATATTGAGACCCCTCTTCTTTTTCTGGAATTTTTTCAGGTTTTATCTGACTCACCTAGCTGCTTTATAGAGGAGGTTGAACGAGGAATTTAGAAGTTCATGATTAACTACGTAATTTAGCTGCTTCTAAACAGATGTAATAGTTGAAAATTGCAGATCAGTACTTCAAATGAGACAAATGAGAATGTGTTAATAGAATCTAATTTGAAGGACAAGTACTTGTCTCTACATGAGAATTACATCCTTAGTTTAGCGCTTTGAAAATGGTTGATCTATAAGTGGATGAGTAAATTTCAACTAACAGAGGGAACTGAAACAAGGCAAATAATGTCACAGGGATACAACAAAGCAAGGCAATTGGAATGATAACCAATTTTCCAGGGGAAAGAATTATAATGGTTGCACCAAAGGCCACTATCATGCTTGCGATAGAGAAGAACATGGTGACAAGCCCGAACATTAACTTATTTGGCAAGGCCATTAGAAAATCCTCTTCTGAGTAACGTGAAGTAAGGATTCCCAAGAACATCAGCAATGAAGTAGTTGAAGAAAAGAGTGCAAGTGCATCTGAAGCAATGAAGATTATAAACGGTCGTTCTTGTGAAAAATTGGGTATCCCGCTATTGTTGTTGCCACCTGGTACCGTAAAAGCCGCTGCAAAAACTACAGTGATTATGAGTGCAGCTACAAATGTGTATGATTGAGCAGTGTCCTTCATCCATTTTTCACCGTCTTTGACTAAACCCTCGTGTTCTTCGGTAAACACTTCTCTAGGAGTTTTGTTGAGCTTATTTCGCTGTACTCGGAAGGATGGATGGACATAACTTTCTACAGCCTGAAGATAAAAGGTTGGCCCATTAGTAAACAGTAATAAATATGATTCTTGCAGAAAAATCTTGGACATTACACAATAACGGATGCTACATATAGAAGATTTACCTTAAACCATTGTAATTCCCTCTGCATCTGAAATGCTGCACCAGGGACTTCTCTTGAAGGTACTAGCCGCCCAGCTAAATGCAAGATGTTGTCAGTGTTTTTTCTTGAACTGGCGGCTTTCCAATCCCATATAAATAAATTCATATTGTTGACAAGACTAAAAATTTGTTCATGGCGATGTAATATTGCAAAATGAAGTATGCCAAGTCCTTTTTTAGTGAAAGTAAAGGAATAGAAATAGGCCTTCAGGATTTCATGCACAAGCTCATAAATCCCAAATCTTGCAGCTGTAAGAATTGGCTCGCACAGTGTCTTCACGGCTTTTTTATTGCTCCAAATCACTCCCTCATTACACATGATTTTGACTATTTCCAGTGTTTGCATATGCGCTAACTTTGTATCATGTATGTGCTTGACACTTGACGCTGCAATTGAATTCAAGTCAATTTTAAATTAGGATTTCGTTCAACATACTCTTTTTAAGAAATAAATATATAATATACCTTGCATGAGGACTTTCCATAGCATAGTATGTAATTTTTGGCTCAAACCACCTATGATATAAACAAATATCAGTTTTTGAAATCATAAGTTAAAAGGTAATTTATATCTTTGTTGTCTAGAGTATATCTAGGGAATGAATTTAAATGGGAGGTGATCCACGAACCAAAGGCAGTAGAGATTTTTCGACAAATACATCCAAAATGTGTGGATCTTTCTATGTTGTTTGATATTTCCAAGTGGTTCTCCTCGTCTCCATACACACTTTCAGGGCAAGAAATATGTTCTTCCTGCACAAGAATCCCTGCAAAAAAATGCAAAGGCTTTTCAATTGGCAATCTGGATTATAAGAAAATGCAGAGATGTCCGCATTTGATATTTTATCTGGCACTGCACAACTATAGAAACTGAAAAATAGAAAAAATAAAAGTAGCCAGAGAGACTAACAACGATAGATTAAGCGTTGCCAATATCCAAACCGACTCCCACTATGAAATGCCAGAGGATTATTAGCTAGCATTTTCAAAATACTCCTTCTTCCCTTTTTCAGTTCCCGACCTAACTTTGGATATTGCTTCAATAGATCTAAAGCTATACCTGTAAATGAAGCACATCAAAGATCAATAAAGATCAGGGCAATTAAATTAATAAGTGATTCCAAAAAGAGTTGCATAATATTGTGCCCACCGTAGAGACCACAACTAATCAAGTCTTCAATTAGAATAAAACCTCTCTCGTCATACAAGTCAGCTGTTGTCACTTGCAGTAGATATTCAACTACTTCCTTGTGGCCACAGGCTGCTGCTTCATGGATGGGAAGGAAACCGGTGCTGTCAGTTATGTTTGGCAAATCTTCGTTGCAACGCACGAAGGCTTCTACTGCTTTTTTATTGCCAAATGCTGCAGCCCAGAATATAGCTGACTGCCCAAACTCATCTTTCGATTCAGCTAGTGATTGGGGACCCATCTGTGATGCAAGCTTCTCTATAAGCCAAATGGGGGCATCTAACTTTCGAGTAATTATATGAGAAAGAGTCTCCTCCACATAAACTATAATCTTCGCCGTCAACCTCTGGTGATCTAATCTGTTTATGTATTCTTCTACGCCGCTCCAATTATTCTCTTGTAAATCCTTGAAAAATTGCCTGTACTCAACATGATCCTCATTTTCCTCGCCCCTTTCGTTCAACATCAACCCTAAAATATATGCCCGTATGAGAAAGTAAGGTTATTGAAGCAGTACAAAGAGCATCTAAAAAAGAAGTAATATTAATACTATTAGTGTAACAAAGTTACCTTCTGACGAAGCAGATTCATAACTCTCATCATCAGAATCACTTTCATCATTAAAATTTGTCTCCATTTCAGTAGTTTCTCTTTCCATCTTTCTCAGAATCACTAAAAATGAAGGGGAAAACATTTAAGGAAGCTGATGAAATTTCAAAACATCTATCTAAATGGACAAATTAGTAGTCAAAGATTCCCAGTCACACTATTTTCTCATACATCGGACTCATAAATAATTTAAATATAATTAGTTAATTAAAAGACGACTTAGTGATTATAATAAACGATGCAAAAACACAAAGTTGATGCATAATAATGTTGAATGAAGGCATACTCTTAGTTAGGTATTGACTTTGTCTCTTTTGAATAGTCCACCCTTGAATGTAGGGTGATGTGTGCGTATATATATATTAGGTAAACCTGTTAATTGTTTCACATGCTACTGGAATATAAAACTCTTTAAGTATAGCTAATTTCAATGGCTAAACGGATTGATATATTATTAATTTGTATGAGCTACTGGACAAAGTCTTCTCTTTTAAGTCAATAGATAGTTTCTCGCTGGCAGCCATTGTCATATTTCATAGCAATTTCTTATTCACTTCAACACACTAGCCAACGGTTCCCATTCATCCCCTCAATTTAACCAAATTTCAACACCTTGTGGCTTGTGTATTGAATTGGACCCGCCCTATCTAATTTTCGGACAGAGTGGACATTCCTGTATTAATGACTGACCCAATTCTCTTCTAGGAGGCTTGAGGCTTTGAATTGAAAGGTCTTTGAGTTGAAAAGTTTGATGATGAGCAGGTCTTAAGACTCTTAACCAGGACTTGGACCTTATTGTCACTACTATAAAGGTAATATTACACTTACAACCAAATCTCACAAACTTTCTTTCATAATCTCGATATGTCAGTTTATAATTGGTCAGTTTGCAAATAGATTTTGTTTGCTTGCTATGGGTCCCGCTTACCATTTGCGAGCTGCCACATCGGAGTTGTGAGAAAAAGTTTGTAAGATTGAGTTGTGAGCCAATCTTTATCCCTACTACAAGAATGCTTACTGAGGATGGTTTTAACTAGGGTTGGGCGGGTTTGGGTACTTGGCCCAAACCGTTGGAATTGGAATTGGTCGGTTCCCGAAATAGGGATCAATCCTAAATGCCTGGAGCTGGAACGTAAAACATAGGTTCCGGTTCCAGGTACTTGAGAAATTTACAATATACCCCTACTGTTCACAAAAATGACAAATATACCTTGTGAATATTAAAATTCACCCTCAATTGTTTTTTTTTTTTTAAATTATCGGGCCGAATCCAACTATTCAATTGAATCATAAAATTTCAAAATTGTCCCCATATTTTTTTGAAATTTAATTTAGTCCCAGTCCCCTATTCCTATTCTGGTCTTTAAAGTGGTGGAACCACAACCGAAACTGTATAGTACTGGTTCCACCAAATTTGGAACCAGAATCAACACCCCAGGTACCTGTTGTTCCGGTTCTACTAAAAAAATTTGCATACCCCTAGTTTTAAACTATCCTTAATAAATGAATAAATAAATAACTTCTTTAATAAAGTAAAAACATTTTCTATTAAAACATCTTTAAAGATTATCAGATATTTAAAATAATGTCTTTTTTTAATGTTTTTAAAATATAAATAGTTAATATAATATTGTTAGGGCCAAAAATCGTCCTTGACCCAAATAAGAAAGCGGGACTGACAATGAGGAAGAGACCAGGCCTAATCCCGATGGGGCCTAATCCGGACTAGGCCCATTCGATATAGCCAGCCCAAACCATTCGGGGCACAAGCCTCATAATCTCAGTTCACTTCCTAGATCTATGAACGAATTCAGAGCCCATGGTCACCTGCAAATCACACTCCCATTCGAACATTAGCAAAGAAATCCACTACCAACCCAATTCCTCCAAGGTCCGTGTCAGAGTCATACTTGGACTCCCTTTCACGCCAGGATAAGGGGATCAAAGGATATATCCTGAAGGAAACGGATTGCTACGGGAACTCTCAATCCCACCAGGATTGGGAGACCAGGCAGTCACTATTTAAACAGAGGCCAACCCTCTCACAAGGCAGACTACACTACACCTACAAACCTCGGAGTTCTAGCTTGAGAAATTCACTTCACCGCCGTAGTCACAGTCCCCAACTAGACTTCTGGTCACTTCTCTACTCCTTAGCCCCCACTAAATCAGCCTTTCAGCCTTGATGATTTGAGCGTCGAAGTGCCTATGGTGTTTTCCGTTGCTTCACGTTCGTTTCTCTACGTGTGCAGGTACAGCGGATCGCTAGTGGCCTCAACCTCACGAGATCAGTCTCTCCTTCCATACAGGTAGATTTTTATGTCTATAGTCTGGCGCCCACCGTGGGGCCTCTAGCAATCATTCAGCTCAACGAACCCTGCTACGTAAAGGAACTTTCCATGGCTGACAATTCTGACAACGCTAACCCTAGCCTCGAGGCCAAACTGGAGGCTCTGATCGCACTCATGCAATAGAATTTGGACAAGGTAGCCGCACAGGAAGCTGAGAACACTGCCATCCGGACCGAAAATGCCTCTATCAGGGCCAAGAACCAGTCCCTGAAAGAAAAGGTAAGTCAGTTTTATGAACTAGAGCTTCTGCCTTCTCAAGTACCACCTAATCGGTTCTGCGCCTCGGTTCTATCTATGCAACCTCTTCAAACCCTAAAGCACAGGCCCGAGGCCTCAGATAAAAGGTCACGTCAACTAAGTTCGTCTGTGGTTGACGATTCGGTCCTGATTCATAGAAAAAAAGATCTGCCAACAGAACCTCGCTCAGCCGATCCATCTCAATCTCATGATCAGGGCGCCCAGGTGACAGAAAACCCGCTCTAGCAAGACTAGCCCATCCTAGCCATCTCACCTCGCTTCCAGTCAACCATCCCTACACAAACATCATTTGGCTCGGCTCATCCCCGCGGGTCAAACAGCCACCCAAACTAAACCATGCCACTTGAGTCCATCTATCCTAACGGGCCGAACGAATACCAAACAACCCCATTGACAATCCATGTAAGGCGAAACACCCGATCAGTCATGTAACACCCCACTTGAAATACGTAGCCACTGTTTACGATATGGCCTAAAGGGTTACTGAAGTGCCCCTAAATGAGGTTGTATATTGTTCTGTTGTTTGGTTGGCCTTTGGTTGAGTTTATGTTTTGGGTTTGGTTGAGTGTTTACCATGGAATTGACCAAGACTTAGCAGATTTTGGAGTTGCAGTCTTCGCCAGGGCGAGGGAGAAGCTTCGCCGCGGTGACGTTGGTTCTGTGTTGGTAGTGTTGGTTCTGGAATGTTTCGCCGGGGCGACAGAAAGTTCTTCGCCACGGCGACGAGACGGCAGAAAAGTTCCTTGAAGTTTCTAGAGAATTCTCCATAAGGGTAAAATGACCATTCTACCCCTAATTAGCAGGAAAAGTGGGGAATAAAATGCAAGGAAATTTCATGGAGAATAGTGTAAAATGGGGGTGAGTTTGTAAAGAATTAAAGGATAAAGGTGGAAATTTCAAGAAAGAGTAAGGGCAAAATGGGAAAGAGTGGATATTATATGAGTTAATAAGGGTTGAATTCTCTAAACCCATTCATTTCACCCATTTCCACCGCCTCTTCATCTCCCATTTTCTCTCAATTTCTCACATCATTTTCTAAGGGATTTTGAGAGTTTTGAGTTGGGATTTGACAAAGAAGTGATCCTAAGCAAGAAGAGGTAAGAATCCCTACTCTAGAATGAGTTTTATTTATGTAGGGTTAGTTCTTACTAAGTTTATGCTTAGGAAATAAGGGAAAGCTATGATCCAACAGATAGAGAGTTTTAGTGGAGACTACTCAAGTATGAGGTAAGTAAATCCAACTCAGCTAAAGTTTAAGAAATTCTAGTAGAGATTTATTTATGCATGTATATATGATGCTTGTTGAGAAAATTGAGTAGAGATGTATGTCTATTTGTGAGAATTGAGTTGAGAAGAGTATTTATATTATGTTTGTTGGATATTTCCTTTATGAGAAGTGTTTTTGATGTGTGATGAGAGAGTGAAATTGAGATGAAGTTGGAGGAAATTGATTAATATTTTGGGAGTGTTCTTCTATGATGGAACCATGCCCATAGAAGGGAGTTTCCTCCAATTTTGGATGGTTAAAAAGAAGGAGAGTTGTAGTTAGAGAAGAGTTTTTGTATGCACATGAGTTGCTTGATGAAATGCCTAGGTGAAATCTGCCCTGTCACAGCTGTGACGTTCTGAGTGATTTTTGGGCATCTTACAGACTGAACTGGGCTGAGACAAAACATAGAAGTTATAGCCCTATTTTTAGCTTTAAAACGAGATATAAACCGTAGCTATCCGATGTGTATAACGAAAGTTATGCCCTTTTTAGTGTGACCTTGCAGATGACGATTTTGGAGCAACATTGCATTTGGCATTTCATAAGTGCATTAAGGTATGAACCATCCATATGCATTAATTGTGCATTGAAAAGTAGTTTGAGAAAGAATAAAGAATGTTGAGCATGAGCTACATTGTGAGTACTAGCTTAGAGTAGAGGATTTTGAGTATAAGCTATACTATGAGTAATAGTTTGGGTGAGAAAGAGTAGAGAATGTTGAGAATAGCAACTCTTAAGAGTAAAGAGAATGAGAACACTCTGATAGTAAAGAGAAAGAGAGATTGAGCACTAGAAGAGAGAAAAGTGCTACAAAAGAGAATAGAGTAAGTTGTGCGATGGGGAACCTGTGAGTGACGAGTAGAGTCACGAGAGTGGGTGCTTTGTGATCCCCAGCCGTGCCTCCGGTCAGATGAGGCCGTGACCGTCACGCAGAGTGGAACATGAGGTTCCAGCCGTGCCTCCGGTAAGATGGGGCCGTGACATTCAGAGAGAGAGAGAATACACTCACATGGCCAAAGGTTCCGAACCCATGCATAACTAAACCCGATCGGTAGCGAAATGAGTGAAAGTCACGTAGAGTGGTAGCGCCCAGCCGTGCCTCCGGTCAAATGAGGTCGTGACATTCCAATGAGTAAGAATGAGAAAGAAAAGAAATAGAAAGAACAGAGATGAGAAAAG